GAATGAACTTCTTTGACTTTACAAGGTGGATACTTCAATGTATAATGAAATTCATGTTTAAAAAACTTGTCCAAAGTTTCATAACTGGGAATTAAAAGAATCAAGTTTTGAACCATTTGAGATCCATACTGTCAACTGTCAACCATTAGCTGCCTCTCCAGAATTCATTACATAAACGATAAACATTCAAATAACTTGAAGATGATCAGAAGCAGCATAGCATATTGACAAAGGACCAAGAAGATATTTCAATCTGGTATTAGATTAGAAAAATGAGTCATATGTAATAATTAAGCAAATCTTATTTCATAACATTTTCTCCATTTAATGTGCCAATTACCTCTTTAAAAAGAATTCTGATGTGTTAAAAAGTTAATAAGCAATTATAGTTTCATGGCAGTAAGGTACTCTGAAAAACTCTCAATGTTAGTAAGATCACAACTTGTGAATTTTAACAAGTGTTTCTAGTGCCATATCAACATCAATGACATAAGTGAATTACCAGTTTGGGTCCATATTCACCTGTTTCTTCCATATTTGAAATTTACGTCAATTTAATGGGGATTTTGTTCCTAAGTAGAAGTGGAAATTTGGCTAAAAATTTTATCCCATGAATGAGTGAAAGATAATCATAAAATGGAGACTGCACGTAACTTGAATCCCATGTATTAATTGGGTGAAGTGAGATTGTCTAAAAATATATCTTAATAATTATTTATAAACGTTATTCCAATTCTATACTAATGAATATTACTGATAATATGACATCAAGATAATAAAAAGGCAGATATTGGAGTACCTCTGCTTGGGACAATTCCTCTGAGAAATGGAGTATCTTCCAGGGCATATGTAAATGGTAAAGGTGGATAAGCAATTGCATTAACAAAGATTTTAACACCGACCATTCCAGCTGTTCCTGCTGGAGTGTAGCAGTAGACTTCACTGGTGTTTACAGAAATAATTTGACAAGGGTCATCCCCAATAGTGACTGTGGTATTGCCTGGATAGAAGCCATTTCCTGTGATCACCAAAATAGTTCCACCACCGATGCTTCCAGAAGTTGGTGAGACAGAGGCTACTGCGGGGCTGCTGATAGTCAGATTTCCCAGAGCCAAGCCTTTAGTTCCCACCACAACACTAATAGAATGAAGTCCAGCTGGGAGAGGAGTCACAAGAACGGTGATGTTATTTTCACTGACATCTATTGCTCTGAACTGTTGATTTCCAATGAAAACAGCAATCTCCTCCAAGTCAGTCCCAAAACCTTCTCCTTCAATGAGAACTCTTTCAGATCCTTGGATAGAGTCTGGGAAGATTCTGGTTATATAAGGAGTGATGCTTTCTAAATATGAAAAGCTACAGTTCCCCTGACACTGGGCAGGTACTCCATGTATCAGAAGATCTACAACCACAAGATGTTGAGGAGCAGGGGATGTTTCACATTCAATGGCTGTATAATTCACTGATAGAACTTTACATGGGAAACGACCCATAAGGACTTCTACACCTGCAGAAGAAACTGCAAATCCAGAGCCTTTTATGGTCACTCTTGTCATTCCTGTAGTTGATCCTGCACTTGGTAACACCATGTCAATGTTTGGCAAAAGTACAAATCGTCTATAAAATTCACTGGGCAGTATATTGATAGCAGTGCCAAGGTTGTAGACTGTCAGAGTGACAATTTCTCTGATACCAACATCCATTGAGTTTTGAGGGTCAATATGACACATTATAGAACTGTCATTACTTTCTTCTACAACACAGGGGTAGCCACCAATTGTAACCTGAGAGCAAAATGAATATGAAATAAAACAAGTCAATATATTACTCTAGCATAAACTTAAATTTTGTATTAGCAACAACTACAGATTTAGAAAGCTAATCATGTGCAAACTTTTTTTAATTCATAAAATTAATTTTGGGGGCTGATTTAGGCATATCTTGGATTAACCTTAAGACTAAATTATG